CCGGCTACTATGACTTCTGAACGCACACGTCGGTCAACTCGCAGTGCCGACCAACTCAGTGCTGATGATCTTCGGAGCCTCACGCGCACTCCAAAGCGCACTCGCACATTGAAAGCTACCGCATCAACCAGTGCAGAGCATTATTCTCGACGACCCTTCACCGTGTTCACTCCCAAACGGTCTACTCGTGCAACACGGTCCAGAACTACAAGATGCAAGCATTACTGCCATGCCTTTCTACATCATGGACGGAAGTGTCTTTCTCCTTGTGTGAGACGTCAACCAGGACACTTCCATTGCAGATGCGCACGTCATCGACGGCTGTGAACAGGTGCCGAAACACCTTACACGCTTTGTCGCTGCATCTAGCCTTGAGTTTGAAAAGTCGTTCCGCATTGCATTGCTGGCTGATTGTGCATGGGTTGCCTTGCGGTTCTTGCGTGTTTGTTCTCTCGCAGACCCTTTGCTTCATAGTGACGTATTCGGTTGTCATGCTGCCGCGCTACTTTGAGTACAACATCGAGCGCGGCCCTGGGAACTCACGAGTGGAATGGATTCGTGTTTACACACCGGGCATGTGGCAGCCTGTGGCAGAATCCATCTTAGGCCCAGCTCCGGACCACGCGTCCACACATCGAGAATGGCGCAGAGTCTACCACTTTGACGTGTACTGGCCTCGTGACAGCACAGGAGGCCCAACTGCGGATGCACTCGCAACACCGGCCTCCTACGCATCCTATCACACATGGCAATTTCGTGATTGGCACACGCGGGGATACCAACGCCTTGGTGACCCACGACCATACATTGGATCGACAGATTTCGTGCCCGCTGGATTGTCGTCCTCGTCGGCGTCTTCAGTTCCGGATGGCGCCTGGCGTGAACCTTCTCCCCCACCGAGCTATGATCCTAATTTTGACTGGGATGAGTGATATTGATGCTTTGACTGAATGTTGCTTAAAACATTGCGCTTGTTGAGTCTTGCGTCTTGAGTGCATTGCCTAAGGCCTTTAGTTTCATTGACTTGTATCATGTTTGTATCTTGCAGCCGTGTGCGCCATTGAATGATCATCATGCCGTGGCTAGAATGGTGCCCTGACCCTCAGCGACCTGACGCTCAATGGGTTAAGATCTTTCATCCAGGATCATGGACACCACAAGACGAACGTGATGACCCTCCTCCACGTCATGCGCACAGGGAATGGAAGGAGTTCTATGCCCCAAATCATGCTCAAGACACAACGTGGCCCCGCAATCATCGGCTTTGTGTATGTCCACGCAGATGTTGGATGCGATTCTTCGATCTTCGGATGCTTCGGCTTTCTCTACTGAGGATCTCACTCGTCTTCAAGCAGGGATCGTTCAGCAGCTGTCGGATCGCGCGCGTCAAGCGTTGCAACCGCACCAGCCGGTACGTACTTCTCGGGGCGTTGAGCCGCCTGAGTCTATTGGGGTCGCTGATCCATATCTGCCTGCAAGCCAACCAAGCAGCTCTGCCGACAAGGTGAAGCCTATCTTCGAGATGCTGAGTAGACTGATGAGTTTTGACCGTGGCACAAAATGGTGCTTTGACATTCCCCTGCTTTCATGTGTGTTTGTTGGTTGTGCATGGTTGTGCATGGTGACTGTCTCCTTGCTAGCTGGATCGGAACCTGTGGTACGCCCTGTCTTTCACTTCGGCATGGACACAGATGATGTAACTCAGACGTCAGCCCGGCCTGACGTTCAGAACCCATGGCTCGAATATTCAGTCTGGCAGGGTCGGGAGCGGGAGGGGAAACGGGTGACCGATCCAGAACCAGTAGAGGTTTTACTTTTTCTACATTTTGCTAAGGAGCCTTGTAAGGAGCTTTATAAGGAGCCTTAGAAGCAAAATGTAGAAAAAGTAAAACCCTGCAACCCTTGGCTTGGAGGGTTTTACTTTTTCTACATTTTGTTACGGAGCCTTGTAAGGAGCTTTATAAGGAGCCTTAGAAGCAAAATGTAGAAAAAGTAAAACCCTGCAACCCTTGGCTTGGAGGGTTTTTCTTTTTCTACATTTTGCTAAGGAGCCTTGTAAGGAGCTTTATAGCTTTATAAGGAGCCTTAGAAGCAACATGTGGAAAAAATCAAACCCTGCAACCCTTGGCTTGGAGGGTTTTATTTTTCTACATTTTGCTAAGGAGCTTTGTAAGGAGCTCTATAAGGAGCCCTAGAAGCAAAATGTAGAAAAAGTAAAACCTGCAACTCTTGGCTTGGAGGGTTTTACCTTTTCTACATTTTGCTAAGGAGTCTTGTAAGGAGCTTTATAAGGAGCCTTAGAAGCAAAATGTAGAAAAAGTAATACCCTGCAACCCTTGGCTTGGAGGGTCTTACTTTTTCTACATTTTGCTAAGGGGCCTTGTAAGGAGCTTTATAAGGAGCCTTAGAAGCAAAATGTAGAAAAGTAAAACCCTGCAACCCTTGGCTTGGAGGGTTTTACTTTTTCTACATTTTGCTAAGGAGCCTTGTAAGGAGCTTTATAAGGAGCCTTAGAAGCAAAATGTAGAAAAAGTAAAACCCTGCAACCCTTGGCTTGGAGGGTTTTACTTTTTCTACATTTTGCTAAGGAAGCTTTATAAGGGGCCTTAGAAGCAAAATGTGGAAAAAATAATGCAACCCTTGGCTTGGAGGGTTTTACTTTTGCTAAGGAGCCTTGTAAGGAGCTTTATAAGGAGCCTTAGAAGCAAAATGTAGAAAAAGTAAAACCCTGCAACCCTTGGCTTGGAGGGTTTTACTTTTTCTACATTTTGTTAAGGAGCTTTGTAAGGAGCTTTATAAGGAGCCTTAGAAGCAAAATGTAGAAAAAATAAAACCCTGCAACCTTGGCTTGGAGGGTTTTACTTTTTCTACATTTTGCTAAGGAGCCTTGTAAGGAGCTTTATAAGGAGCCTTAGAAGCAAAATGTAGAAAAAGTAAAACCCTGCAACCCTTGGCTTGGAGGGTTTTACTTTTTCTACATTTTGCTAAGGAAGCTTTATAAGGGGCCTTAGAAGCAAAATGTGGAAAAAATAATGCAACCCTTGGCTTGGAGGGTTTTACTTTTGCTAAGGAGCCTTGTAAGGAGCTTTATAAGGAGCCTTAGAAGCAAAATGTAGAAAAAGTAAAACCCTGCAACCCTTGGCTTGGAGGGTTTTACTTTTTCTACATTTTGCTAAGGAAGCTTTATAAGGGGCCTTAGAAGCAAAATGTGGAAAAAATAATGCAACCCTTGGCTTGGAGGGTTTTACTTTTGCTAAGGAGCCTTGTAAGGAGCTTTATAAGGAGCCTTAGAAGCAAAATGTAGAAAAAGTAAAACCCTGCAACCCTTGGCTTGGAGGGTTTTACTTTTTCTACATTTTGTTAAGGAGCTTTGTAAGGAGCTTTATAAGGAGCCTTAGAAGCAAAATGTAGAAAAAATAAAACCCTGCAACCTTGGCTTGGAGGGTTTTACTTTTTCTACATTTTGCTAAGGAGCCTTGTAAGGAGCTTTATAAGGAGCCTTAGAAGCAAAATGTAGAAAAAGTAAAACCCTGCAAGGCCTACACAATCCGGACATCTCCATCCAGGTCGAGGAAATGCTCACTTACGGCCCGTCCATGTCTGACGTTACACATCCGTCATCTTTGCATCTTCCGCCTGTCTTCTATGGCGGCACACGTCTTGCTCAACTTGGAGATCCTTCGTCCCCGTCTTCTGAGCGGCATCGTACAGAGCGTGCAATTTCTCGTTCTCCCCGCCGCTGTGGATATTTTGGTAGACGTTAGGGAGTTGAGCATGTGATCTTCCGGAAGCAAAAGAGAATGTTCGCCCCTCGTAGAGGGGCGTGTGTGTGCGGAGTGGCAGAATACCCTGTCACCACAATTTCTTACGCAGGGGGCGTGGCGGTCTCCTCGTAGCCACGCCAACGAAGCTATCGAGGATGACTGGATGCATCAAGGGACGCCTTGATGTGTACCTGCACCAGTTTTGCAAATGTCTATTTGGCCCCCTTGGTTGCGGCGCTGTTTGTGCTTCTTGTTCTTTCGGGTAACGTGTTCGCTGCTAGTCGGAAACCAAGTGAATGCAAGCCGAACCTCATCGTACTCGAGACTCATCAGTTGTACTCGAGACTCATCAGTTGTACTCGAAAGATTAGCACTCTCCATTTGGAGTTTAAGTGTGTGGTGTGTGCGTGTGTTTGTGTGTTTGTGTGTTTGTGTGTTTGTGTGTTTGTGTGTTTGTGTGTTTGTGTGTTTGTGTGTTTGTGTGTTTGTGTGTTTGTGTGTTTGTGTGTTTGTGTGTTTGTGTGTTTGTGTGTTTGTGTGTTTGTGTGTTTGTGTGTTTGTGTGTTTGTGTGTTTGTGTGTTTGTGTGTTTGTGTGTTTGTGTGTTTGTGTGTTTGTGTGTTTGTGTGTTTGTGTTTGTGTGTTTGTGTGTTTGTGTGTTTGTGTGTTTGTGTGTTTGTGTGTTTGTGTGTTTGTGTGTTTGTGTGTTTGTGTGTTTGTGTGCTTGTTTATTTATTTGTTTGTTTGTTTGGTTGTTTGTTTGTTTGTTTGTTTGTTTGTTTGTTTCTGTTTGTTTCTGTTTGTGTGTTTGTGCGTTTGTGTGTTTGTGTGTTTGTGTGTTCGTGTGTTCGTGTGTTCGTGTGTTCGTGTTTGTGTGTGTGTGTGTCTGCTTGGGGTTGCATGTCCGCGTTTTGTGGCGTTGTGGGGGTTCGGTTTTTTTGGGGGCCGTAGGTAAGCAGCATGTGTGAGTGGTTGGGTGATTATGTGGGTTTGTGGGTTTGCGATTGTGTGCATTTGCGCGTGAGTGGGTCTTTGGGCGTGTGGGCGTGTGAGCCGGGTTATAGACGGTTGTTGTGTGCCTTAGCCTTAGCCAAGCTTCAGCCATGCTTTAGCACTTTATCCATGCCTTGGCCATGCCTTGGCCATGCCTTGGCCATGGCCATGCCTTGGCCATGCCTTGGCCATGCCTCTGCCTCAGTCACAAAGTTAATTGCATTGGCAAAGCTTGCCAGCTCAGGAACGAAACGCTCAGAGGGCCACCATTCCAACAGGATAGGTCCTCATGTGCAAGTCTAAAGCATGGGTTTCCCCGACTCTGCCCTTGTGCCCAAAGATGTGCCATGCAGGAGCTTCACCGACAGTGAGTCTGGGCTCCTCCTGGACAGCCATGGCATTGTAGCATGGCTGAGGTTAGGAGGGAGAGAGAGGGTTTGCCGATGTTTGTAGGGCTTGTTGATGTTTGGTGATGGCAGCCACGGGTGAAACCTACAGAAGCAAGGAAACCAGGCCACTGCAGAAAGCCGCCAGCCGAGGCACCCGGCGCTTCCAAACAGTCCCGACCCTTTTAGCATCAAGCTGGCTCTTTGCACGCCCCTCAGGGTCAGCCAAGTCGAATCCGCACTCAGAAATGTGTAGTGCATTGCACATACACTTTGGCAGTTTCAGCTGAGAAATCGTAACTTGTGAGCCAGAGTAACGGCAATGTTGGACACAAAGGGTCCGCGCACTATCGTATTGCGCCGGCAGACTTTGGCCCGCACTGACGGCATCGCTACCAAAGCGATATTCGGGTACTACACTTGCTTTCAAAGGTTGCGATGCTCGAGGTCGCAACTACAGAACCGAAGCACTGAACTACGATAAGCTCAGCCCCAGACTGGCAATCATAAAATGAAGAGGGTCGGCTTGTTGGATCACACCTTCAAACTGATGCCCCTGTCATGACTAGGTTGGCTGCCCAAGGTGATGAATCAATGAGCGGCATTTCCATATTGCGGTAAGTTGCCGGATGTTGCTGGCCTTCAAAATAGTTGATACTCGGGCTAGCCATGCTGTGACGGCTTCAAGCTGCTTCACTTGACAGCTTTCGTGGTGACCTGCATTTGGCAAAGCCCAATTGCAGCGCAGAATGCCTGAATTTCGACCGCCATTAGGGCTTGTATCGTCTGAGGAGGATGGCGAAATGCCAACCTTGAAGCTGGTCTGTAAAGCAAACTCCGACAAAGCAATCTGCGCTATTGCCGCGACCTGGTTCCGTCGATGTTTTCCGGCGCATAGTGTTGGAATTGGTTTGCCGAAGTCTGGTGGCTGGCTCAAGTTACTTCAGCGCAATTGATTTAGATTTGCCCGGATCGCATGGCTAATGTTGTTGAGGCTGTCAAGGCGGAGCTCAAGCGTGAGAAAATCAAGCTTTGGGTGCAGCCATACTTGCAGGACTGGGACGGTCCACGCAAAGCCAATTTCAGGCCCCGCCACACCCCCTGCCTAGCTAGGCTCAAGATGTATTTGTCGATTTAATGCATCCTTCGAACATCCTTCAACGTCACTTAAAGAACTCCCGGCAATGAAGCAGACCTATGCCATGTTGCATGGCGTTCAGTTTCTTTGATCGCGGCAACTCTCAATCAGACCTCCAGGTTGCGTTCTTTGGATCATCGGAGCTGGATTCAAACATCCCCTGGATCAGCCCTCGCTGGTATAGAGCGTTGGGCGGGGCATCGGGTGAGCGTGTACTGACTCTCCGTCCAATCCTCAGGTTCAGGGGGCTTGTGGAGGCCCGGTGCAATTGCAGCTTATCCTGACAGGATGAGGCCCTTGACGATCTAAGCCACCGATATGCCAGCAGGCCTGCGCATTGCACTGAACTGATCCCTGAACTGCTTTTGGAGCCCAGAACTCAAATGCACACACCGTGATTGGTGCTCCTGCGTGACAGGATAGTTCGAGGGTCGGCTTGGTTTGTCACTGGTCATGTTTGCCATTGCTAGGGCTTTGCAAATGTTTGTTTGCGGTCTGCACCTTTGCGCTCTCAATTGTTTCCAGGCTTGGTGCAGAGATTGCGGCAGTGCGGGCTGCATTGTTGGAGCTGAAGCAGCAAGCGCTGGCGGAGCTGGCTAGGCGCAAGGACGGAGTGGGTTCCCTGCATGCAACCCATTCAATTTGTAGGACGACCCGTGTGGCATGACTCCTGGCCGCCTTTGACGTCATGTCAAGTCTGGCAGGAAGGAGCTGCTGCCCAAACAAGCTCAAGCCAGACACCCGACGACGACAAGCTGACGTTGCTGGGCAAAGTGCCAGGCAAGCCGGGCATTCAACAGCAGGACATCAAGATGGAGGCGACATGGCCCTGAAAACTGCAGGAGGTAACATCCTCATATACATCGTACATGTATGCCGCACGCATACCAAACGATATAGGCCAAGTGCTGATTTTGCGATGCCCCTGTGCAAATATGTTCATTGAGAAACTCTGCAAACATATTCTGTTTGAGAAGGTGACCCTGGGAGAGAATCGCAGTGTGGCCAGACTGCAGCAGGAATTTGCTTCTACCAGGAAACTGCATTGAAATCCTGCATGCACGCTCTTTGGGTCCTTATCAGAAAGGGATAGTTGATTAAGAGACGTAAGCATTGCAAACTTGAACTGGCAGAAACGGCAAACATGGCAGATGTCTTTGCTGAAGTGTCGGGCATGCTTTGCACACAGGTGTAGAAAAGCGACCTCTTTCAAGAATGGTTAGTCGGGTCTCAGGTCAGCAGCGGACAAAGCGGCCTGTCGGTGAAGGCTTTGCTTCGCGATTGCCTTGGAGCCTCAAAGGTCAAGGTCATTGTTGAGGGCAAAGTGCTTCAGGACCCTGTGAAACTTGAGAGCCCTGAGGCTGCACGTGTTGTGAGCGCAGGACGAGCCAACTCTTGCAGCACAGGGCTGGAACGGAGACTCGCAAAGAGGAGGTCCGCTACGCGTCATTCTTCTACCTGTGTTCCCCGAGAAGGCTGTGGACCAGAAGTCCCAAGAAGGCCTGGCAAGAGCTTTGCAGGTAGCAGTGCGTGCAGCTCCAGTTGCTTGCCTTGCGCAGGACTAGAGAGGGCGGAAGCGGATGTTACCCAGCTTCGCCATGCTGCTGAGCGCCTTACCGCCACAGGCTTCGGAGACTTTGAGCTTTCTGACCAAAGAACTGGGCGCCTTGTGCAAATTCCACCCAGTGCCCGGCAGCCACTCGTCACAGCCATCGCGTTGCACGCACGTGGGCGAGAACTCTTGCGAGAGGAAGGGGGTGCGGCGAGGGCATTGGAGTTTCTGGTGGAGGCCAGCTTTTGCTTTGAAGCCGCCAGGGAACAGGGAGCCGCAGAACTCCTCAAGAGCCTGTCAAACCTTGGCGAGCTTCAACTGGATATTTGCTGGTCATATGCCCTTCTCGGAGACTCCAATTACTTGCCTGATGCCGAGGCCCGCTTGGAAATCGCAGAGGCCATGATTCGCCGACAGGTGGATTCGAACTTTCTCACACTGGCGGAGGTCCGAGCCGAACAGGGGCGGACACTACCTCCTGATGTCTTGCCAGCAGTCCGACTTTGGCTGCTGCGAGGCATTGCCAAAGCTTGCCGAGGATACGCAGGGGCAGCTGAGGATTTGGAACGCGCTGCCTTGTTTCTTCAAGCCCTGCAAGTTGATGAGTCGGTGGTTGACATGCTGGTAAACCTAGGGGTGAGACAAGGCCAGAGCAGAACAGCTCAAATATGTAAATCTGAGAATGTTTGAAGCCAAAGCTTGGCCAAAGCCTGCAAGGCTTTGGCCAATGTCACGTTGCACTGGTTTCCCTGTGCGCCAGGCGTTACTCGGGTTCAAGCAGTGGCAGCACTGCGGCGAGCCGAGGGCAACGGAGACAACGCGGCGACGTGTTTGCTGGCTGCGGCAGAACACTACCGGGCGGCTCATAAAGAGCGCCAGGCCCAGCACAAATTCGGATGCACAGAGAATGGGTCCTTCGTGGATCTTCGGGCCGTGCGGCAGTTGGTTGCGATGGGAATGGATGAAAGCTCCTCAGTACAGGCTCTGAAGCAAGCCAACAATGATGTTTCTGCCGCATTGGAGAGAATGCGGAAAAGGGCCAGACTTGCGGTTGATGAGCTGGCCTTGGCCACGCTGGTTTCCATGGGCTATGACACCAAAGCAGCAGAAGCAGCACTGCAAGCAGTTGGTGGGGCAGATGTTGATGCTGCTTGCCTGAAGCTTTCTCACCAGGCCAGGGACAATGCTTTGGATGGCTTCCCCTCACTCATGCAAGCACTGTACACGGATTGGCATGCTGAGCAGTGACGTGGATGCTGATGTAAACAGAGAGTTTTCATTTGACCGGTATGTTTCCATCGTCTGTGAGTGCGTATGGTCACCCTGCCTTCGCGCAGGAAGACCTACAAGATTCGTCATCGTGCCAGGCACCTTACAGTCCATGAGCGAATTGGTGCTCAATTCCTCCGAACGACAAAATGCTTCCACTTGCCAGGCCGCCGAAGACACCAAAGACTGTGCAGACAACGGTGCTTCAGAAGAGGCACGCCAGCTCACTATTGGCGACAGTAGTTACCATGAATTGGCTTGGGGGGGTGCTGAACAACAAGCCAGCGCCCCAATTGCGAGCCGCAGCAGGAAACAACTGAACCCTGCCTTAACTTGCAAAGCACCCCTCAGTGATGCTGCAATGCAGTCACGCTGCTACTCAGTTTTGGTCCAGAGTGAGTACACGTGTCTTGCAGCCGTGTCTTTCATGCATTTTTTGACCAACTTGGTTGCATGCACTGCCCAGGGTTCTTATGCTGATCCTTTGTTTCATTTCCGAACGAACCCTGAGAATACTACAAGTGGCGCAAGGGGAAGCAAGGTTTGCAGCGCGACGCTTTGTACTTCATATAGCCGTAGCAAAACCAGCAAATGAGATCGCTGGTTCGAACGCGCTCAGCCCGC